TCGCGTTTCGTTCGGTCTGGTTGGTAACCGAATCATGACAAAATCGATGAATGAATGAATGAATGAAATATACTTTATTGTACACAACCAACGGATATTGAAGAATCAACTAAAATAATACAAAACTGTACAATAGGCGGCCTTATCGCTAGGAAGCGATTTCTTCCAGGCAACCTAGTAAAAGGAAATAGTAAAAACAGTAGCATTGGGTAACGGTGTACACTGAATTAATAAGAGAAACTTATAAGTCAAAATATAAATACATATTAATAAATTATACATAAATACACATGCAAACACGATATATAAATATATACGTTATAAATAATGTATAAGTATTTAGATATAAGTTGACAACATCGAGGAATGGAACACAATGATTAAGGAGGCATAAAATGTTTTCTTAAAAGTCGCTTGAAAATAGGTAGGGATTGTGCCCGCCTAATATGTAGTGGGAGAGAGTTCCAGAGCCGAACAGCTTCCACAGAAAAGGATTTGGAGTAGAAAGATGTACTATGGGGAGGAATTCTGAGGATTAAATTGTCATCGGAGCGGAGAGATCGATCTGGGTGAGAATCACAAAGATACTCAAATCGCTTCTTAAGATAAGGAGGGGTGGTTGGATTGAATAGAACAGAGTATAAGAGCGAAAGAAGGTGAGTATTCCTGCGAAGGCGGATTGGAAGCCACTTGAGCTTATTTCGGAATTCAGAAATGTGGTCATATTTACGAAGTCCAAATATGAACCGTATGCAAAGATTTTGGATGCGCTCAAGTTTTATTAAGTTGTTCAACGCTTAAGTCTAAGTAACATGTATCGGCATAATCTAGAATTGGTAAGAGGAGAGATTCCGCGAGCGCAATTTTGGTAGGTATAGGTAAGAAGTAACTCAATCTACGAAGAGAATTAACTGCTGCAAACATCCTTCTACTCACTTCACTAACCTGAGGAACCCAAGAGAGAAATTTATCAAACACAACACCTAGATTTTTAACCGTATCGCTATATTGCAATTGGACCCCGTCAAAAACTATACAAGGAAGATTAGCCCAGTCAATACGTGAAACCAATCTTTGGCTGCCTATAATAATAGCTTGTGTTTTAGATGGATTTACCTTCAGTCCATAAGAATTGCTCCATTCTACAATGGTGTTTAGGTCTTTATTAACTGCATCTATTGTCATGGTTAAATCTGGTAATTTGGATTGAGCGTAGACTTGGAGATCATCAGCATACAGATGGTAGAGAGAAGTTAAATGTTGAGTGATTGAACTAATGAAGATTGAGAATAGGAGAGGAGACAACACGCCACCTTGCGGTACCCCGGCATTTATCGGACTCCAGTCCGAATACTTCTCCTCGATCTTAATCCGTTGCCGGCGCCCGTGCAAGTAACTGTGAAACCAGTCAACGACCTTAGGAGATATGTTTAGAGAAGTGAGAATGGCTAAAAGTAGCTCATAATCAACATTATTGAAAGCGTTGCTGAAATCTAGTAAAGTCAATACTGTTACACACTGGTTATCCATACCGAACCGGATATCATCAGTAATTTTTACTAATGCAGTAGTCGTACTATGACCAGAACGGAAACCGGATTGAAACGGATTTAAAAGGTTGGATTTGGAAAGAAATACAGTCAATTGTTTATGAACAATGCGTTCAAAAACTTTTGATAGAAATGGTAAAATGGAAATAGGCCGATAATCAGAGAAACTGGAAGGATTCGTTTTTTTAGGAAGAGGAATTATCTGTGCATCCTTCCAGGAAGTAGGGAAGCAACCGCTATTGATGGAATGATTGAAGATGGACACAATGACGATGTTGACTGTGATCGCTTACTGCGGTTACCGTTATCATGTTTTCCAGCATCTCTTGAAATAAAATAACTTTAACAGTATTATCTCCAAATAGTCCGATATTCCGAGCGAGATTCTATTTCATCCCTTGTAAGGCTGTTAGATCGATATAAGATATATGTGTGGTCAATCCCTCTTTGTGTTTGAGGTCTGCTGGGACTGATAAGACATGTCAACGGTGAGGTCTCGTGAAACCTGTCTGCCTTTGGGCCTTGAAGTCGAATATCTCACCGCTCACAATACAAGTAATGTTACTGGGATGGTTGAAGGAATTTTGAATCCTTAAACTATTTGATGTTATCGTACCGAGATCGGTATTATGTTAAATTTTCGTAGTAGTAGTAGTAGACAGAGTAGATCTTAAACTTGTTTCATTAAATCATATGACTTTTTTAATTTCATTTATAAAAGCTGTTGCAACGTAGTTCTTTAACGTATCTAGGATATTATTTCTACAGCGTACGAATTACAATAAGTATTTGTTCACATTCTGCTAATGACCTTTGTCACCGACTACATTTAACATTGATAATTCAAATTAACTTATTGGATACTTTGCATTACGGATTTACAAAGCAATTTAAAAAAAGCTGCGGGGTTAACAGCACATTACACAATAACAATAAAATAGTAAATTGCTCAACTGCTTACGAATAATATACAACGCTTTTAAAACCTCGATATCTTTAATAAGGGAAACGGTCAAATGGATTCGGGGATATATGCCAGCTATTGCACATGAAAATAGACTATTTAAAGCCTGTGGTTAGAAGAGTGTAGTTTGCGGAAATGATTGATCATGCTTCACGTTTGACTCCCATTCTGTGGACATTAGTAATCTCCAATCTCTATTTAACTGTCAAAGCACCTACATCTGTATGTATTTTGGCATTCGGTTGAGTTATAGTAGCATCCCAAAATTGCCGGTTTTCTAAGCGGGAATAATCAATGTTCTAAATATAAAAATAAAATTTGAAGAAAAAATGGACGGAACGTTGTTCGCCGGTGCGGGAATCGAAGCCACGTGTTCCGGATTCGCACCCAGAAGCTTTATCCACTAAGTTAAACGTCTGACCGCCACACCGATGAAAAATCACAACGTATTTTAACTACATTGCTTAAAATGCGAAAAAACAATCCAAATGACTTGGATTCGATTCCAGCAGCGGCACAAAGGTCTGTCCAATTTTTCTACAAATTTTAGTGTTTAATTTTAAGTGCAGAGATTAGCACTATAAAGAAATTGTTTGAAAATTTGTAAATTCTAAATTATAAGGTCAAGCATAATTCTGGTAAATAAGTTGCATTAAATTATTATGATTATTGTATACTAAGGTACACACTGCCGGTAACTACGTATTGATGGAGTGGCAACTCACGACAAGTGGCAAAAGGTGGCAAGTGAGCTGGCGTTTCACCCGATGGTATGCATAATGATGGAATGATAAAGCATGGACATTAACCCATGGAAATTTGTAACACCCGTAGGGTTGCAGATGCGTTGCCACCTTTTAATAAAGTGGGCCCCGGTCCTCAATCACCAGACGAATCGCAGAAGTGTAAAACTTCACGCCGGTCTTCGGTGAGGTCGTGGTACTGCCCCAAACGAACCTGCCCATTCGTGCAACAGCGAATGCTGTTGCGTGGACCTACCACTAAAGCAGCCTACATTTAGCAGTAACCGCGTACAATTTTGTTTGCGATTATTTTATAGTAGATATTTTGTAGTAAAGACAAGAATTAGATAAATTATATGACTGGAAAATATTAATTATTAAAATAATATTTATTCATGTAGAATATAATATATATGGAAAGGCTTACTGTGAAATATAAATATTTCATGGTAATACCTTATATCTACATACTAGGTTAAGAGCCGTGATAGCTCAGTGTCCGGGCGCTCGCCTTTAATTCAATATATTCGAGCAACCTGAGTTCGATCCCCGGTGCCGGCACCAATGAAGTTTTTAACTTTAAGTGCTGACTTATCACGTGCTCCGCGGTGAAGGAAAACATCGTGAATGTGTATTTTCGAAATAATAACAAAAAAAAAAAATATATTTCGAAAATATGTGAAGTCCGCCAATCCGCAGTGGGGCCGCGTGGTGGACTATGCCCTGATACCCCTGTATCAGGGCATAGCCCTTTGCCCAGCAGTGAGACATGTATAGGCTGTTACAAAAGGGATATAATTTTGTTTACTAGTCTTTACAAAATTTCCAGTAAACTAATACAATTTTTTATCTAGCATTTATTATTTTAACGACGTAACGAAATATTTAGATTATATAAGGATGCATGCACAATATACATCAGGATGTACATCTGTATATTACATAGGTATATAAAGGATCGCTAACTAAAAACTAAGTTATTCCTAACCATATAACTGACTGAATCCTATCCGTGCTGTGTGTACTCGTACGTAGCGTCCCATTACCTGTGCACTCTGAGCACGCGTGCATCTTTTCTCTCTCCAAATTACTTCTCATCCCTGGAGACTTTCCTTTTTAGCTACTTTTTAGATTTTTCAGTTTCAACTAAAAAGAAGCGCGAACGAAACGTTACTTGTTATGTAAAACTTAAAAGGTGATTTTATCGCATAAAAAGATTTCTTCTTTAAGTTAACTGAAAACAAAGTTGCAGCGGAGAACGATACAGATAATTATTTATCGTACGCCGATTGGAATGTCTATAAGTATAATTGTATACAAGGAGGATGCGTCAACTATATTGTTTCATTTGCGCACTCTATATAGCGTTCCTCGCTAGACGATGTATACAAACGGCAAGGTGAAATCATCGGATTATCGTCGACACGGAGACAGACGCTCTGACCGCGTATCTTTGTCATCATCACGCCTGTGAGTGCGGAGGGTGCACAGGAAACGTTCATTCAGCCTCTCATTGCCGGGAAGCGTCGAGCGGGCAGTCGACTGCGGCCCGCCGCGCGCACCACCCGTCGACCACCACGCGCCGTCGAACACCCGCGCGCGGGAAAATTTGACAGCGCACAGTTCGCAAACTCGACAGCGGGCGAAAGCAACTCCTTTAGAGCCACCTCAATTCGTGTGCCAAAATCGCGACAATAATTTTTCGACAATAATAGTTTTAAGCCCGAGAGGGGTTTGAGAGTAATGGGCGACTCCAAGAGTGTAGAAGTTAGCGGCAGCGTGATGGACGGGGTGGCCGAGAAAGGGGGCGTTCTGGAGTCACCCGCGAAGAAGGCGCCCACGGAGTACATAGTGTACCCGATCAGGTGGCTGGTCCTCTTCATCTTCGTGTTCTATTCGGCGTCGAACGCGATGCAGTGGATCCAGTACAGCATCATACAGGACGCCGTTGTGAAGTACTACGGCGTCAACAGCATCACCGTGTATTGGACGTCGATGATCTACATGATAACCTACATCCCGCTCATCTTCCAGCTAGTTGGCTTCTAGACAAGACCGTGAGTTGAAAAAAAAATAAACGATATAGAATATTTTATCTGTTGCAATTGTTTCGTTGTAACTTAAATTTTGAAAATCGTGTGAAGGACGATGTTTATTTTCCGTTATTGGTAGAAAAATCGCGTTATCTTTCTTTACATTTGTTGAAATTTAAGTTTTTTTGTTAATTTTCAAAAGAGAAAGTCAAGGAATTCAGTGAACTATTGAAATTATTCACAATAATTTAATTCCCTAACTTTCATTTATTTATTAGCTCCAATGGGTTTGTATTTTCTTTGTTTATAATACAAAAAACCACTGCTAAAACCTGCCTCGATTATTCATTATAAGCACAATCCTTGCGTACGTCACGTTTTCGACGAAATGTCCGTAACACCCAACCGGCCATTGTTTCCGATCCGTTCATAAAACGTGCATTTTCGCATTCCGAAGTTGAAAACATTTTTGCGCAAAAATAAAACACTCGAATGGAGGCAATGCATAACTTACCAATAAACTAGAATGGATGCAATGCATAACTTACATGTATTACCAATAAAGATTAATTCAGCTGAGAGTAAACGTGAAATCTGCGTGACAACGTTATAAGAACAGATTTCGCATTTGTTAATAATAGGGGATTGCGGAAAAAGAGTTGGTAAAAAATATATTTTTTTTTATGTGAAAAGTTGATAAACGAGCATGCTTTACTGTGGTAGGGCCACGCAGCAGTCACGGCTGTTGTACGAATGGGCAGGCTCATCCGGGTCAGAAGCACGTGAGGTCGTCGGAAGACCGGCGTAAATTGGAAGTATAATACTTTCGCGATTCGTCTGGTGAGTGAGGCCAACCAGAACCCAATTTTCAAAAGGTTGTCAATGCATCTGCAACCCTCGGGTGTAGCAGATGTCCATGGGCGGCGGTATTGACTTAAGTTCAGGTAAACCGCCTGCTCGCTTGGCAACTTGTCACATAAAAAAAAGGCAGTTCATCTGATGTTAAGTGAATACCGCTGCCCATGAACATCTACAACACCCAAAAGCTTGCAGATGCGTTGACAACCTTTAAAAAAATGGACCCCGGTTACCTCACTTACCAGACGAAACGCAGAAGTATAACACTTCCACTTCACGCGGGTCTTCTGTGAGGTCACGGTACTTTGATCTGCCCATTCGTGCAACAACGGAGACTGTTTCATGTTGACTGACCCTACCACAGTACCAAATAATAAAATTATATTGGAATCTTCGTAATGTTAAGTGGTAGAATATGCTTGAATTCGTTTAAGATAACTAATTGACAAACTTGGCAAATTTTAAACGTTGGTGAAGGTATAATACATATTACTGTAAAGTAAAAAAAGTAAAAAACGCTATTGTAAAGTAAACATTTACTTTTTCATTTCATTCAAAGTCATAAGCGATGACAATACACCTATTATTGTATTTTTTTTATAATTAGAAAATTTAATAAGAAAGGATGCGGTTCCCCATATGTTAAATGAGCTGCTCATCCGCATCTACAACTCTTTGGGTCGGCAGATTCTTTACCAACTCTCAAAGTATAGGACCCCGATCACCTCCCCCCCAGGGCGAAATGACAAAGTTCAAACTTCCTGCGAAAATAAAACTTCCATTCCATGCCGGTCTTTCGTAAGGCCGTGGTAATTCCCCGGAAAATCCTGAATATTATTGCAACAGCTTTAGCAGTACAGTAAAAGGCATGTCCATAGCATGCGTTATAACTTTCTTAAAATTGAACCGTTTGTTCATTTCCAAATGAAATTAAAATAAATTCCGTCACTGCTCGTTTGTTACAAGAACAGCGGTTTTTACACACATCCTAGCTTGGTATAAGATAGTCGAGCTTTGTCTTGTACAATATACGCGGAAAAACCAATGATATTATATACAAATATACGAGGTAGCTATGACACTAACGCTCTGGATTTGAGGCGCTTAAATTACGCCGTGTAATGTAAAGCGGAACAATTTTTAAACGTCGCGCAGTATCGCGTCATCTATATTATTAAAACATCATTGTGGAAAAACCATGACCCGTAATAAGCTACAGCCACTAATCAAACGAAAAGTTGTACTTTTTTTTATTATGTGAAAAGTTGTTAACTGAGGAGGCGGTTCACCTGATTTTAAGTGAATACCGCCGCCCACGGACATTTACTACGCTCGGTGGCTTGCAGATGAGTTGTGAACAGTAGTATCACTTTGTAGTATTACTTTACTCTATGGTTGTCAACCTTTAACAAAGTGGGTCCACAGGAAAATTATCAATGTTAATTCATTAAATATTTAATTTGTAAGTGCGATGGTAAAATGCTCGCTCGCGTTCGTACCTACCAAACATTCACGATTATTTTTTCCTTGTTTTTATGACACCGGACAAGGTCATGCTGCCGTCATACGAAGAATGCAGTATTAGTATACACGTACGTACAGCTAAGGGATAGCTGTACGTACATCGTACATCAGCTATAGCTGACTGTGATGTTGGGATTTCCGTCTTTAAGCATCGACTTCTAATCTCAGTGAAGTTTCTAAGTCACATTTTAAGGATTCTGTAGGCAAAGGGTAAAAACCCTTTCACATACATAGACACCACTGTCTGTCTGTCCGTCTGTCACCAGGCTGTATCTCATGAACGGTAATTGTTAGAAAGTTGAAATTTTCACAGATTATGCCTTTCTGTTGTCGCTATAACAACAAGTACTAAAACAGAATAATAAATTTTTGAGTGGGGCTCCCATGCTACATATTTGATTTTTTCCCGTTTTTATAGATAATGGTATGGAACCCTTCGTGCGCGAGTCCGACTCGCACTTGGCCGGTTTTGCTCTTTATACGGCTACAAGGCTCACCTCATGACTGATATAGGACTGAATAAGGTCGATAAAATGCTGATAGCCTTAGCAATTTTCTAGCTGTCTGTCTCTACTCCTTAAGGATAAAAGACGCGAGAGTTTAAACATACCAGTATTTCGATGCAATTTTGACTTATATTATGCAGATGGCTCCATTTATTCGTAACGTTTGCTTTACATCAATGTTTAAAGGAGCTGTGATACCTCAGTGTATAGGGCCTCGCCTTTAATGCATATACTCAAACCACCTGAGAACGATTCCCGGTGCCGGCACCAATGAAATTGCTAATTTTAAGTGCCGAATCATCACGTGCTCAGCGGTGAAGGAAAACATCGTGAGGAAACCTGCATATTTTTCAAAATAATAAAAAAAAATATTTCGAAGATATGTGAAGTCCGCCAATCCGCAGCGGGATACCCTTTGTACAGAGGAGCCCTTTGCCCAGCAGTGGGACACGTATAGGCTGATATTTTACTCTAAGTTTCATCCTGAGTGCGGAGACTAACGCTAAAAATAAAATTTTATTCCAATTTATTGTAAACATTTGGGAAAACAACCAACGCAGCCTTGTTTGAAAATGCATTATATAACAGATTTCTACAGTGTTAGAGCGACGACGCGTCTGTTGTTGTACGAATGCATCTCGTCCGGGGAAGTACCTCGGCCTCATCGTGTTGCTGTGGAAGCGAGGTAAGTGGGGTCGACTTTTTCATAAGGTTGGCACCAAATCTGCAACCTAACGGGTATTGTAAATGGCGTTAGGGTCCAAATTAAACTTTTTTGAACAATAACTCTTAGTTTATTGTAATTTACAATTTTACAATTATTTAAGACTCATCGGGGCGAACGTGTGAGTTATTCTTCTATACAGTTGCCAGTGTTGTCATAGACAAAAATTTAACAATTTTTATTGAGGCGTTTATAACGAACGCTACTTGTGTGAAAGTATTTTACAAATGGACATCTACAATACATAGACATAGACGGTGGCTATCACTTAACATTAGGTGAACCGCTTGTTCGTTAGCCACATTTCCTTTAAAAATTTTCAGCTACACATTGAGGACCACGTAGAGAATGACCTTTGCCTTAGACTTAGCACATCTCTTAACAACAGTCAGCCACAAATAATATATTTATAATCGCAGTGTTTCTTACAATCTTTTGAAATTTCTAAGTTTCTAATCAGAAGTGCAGTAAGAGATTCATATAAAATTTTAAGAGAGTACTGAACTGAAATACGGGAAAAAAATGTCGGAGAATGTTTCACGTATCACCAATGTCGAGTCAAACAATAGAATTTAAAATTCAATGCCAGCGTGGAATAAGGAACTGTACCTATTTAAATGTAAATCGACGGCAGAATTTAATATTTAAACACTTATTCACCTTGCTGCCTGCAGCGAAACATTTAATGTTGGATATTGCTTTTTGTCATTAAACTGCGACGTGGCTTATGAGTGAATTAACTGCGTGATCGATTAGTTATGACGCTTGGGCTGACGCGGGTCCATTGTGCTATGGTGATACTGATTCACTGCGGTCGCGAGTGGTCGGTGATATCTTTATAGCCGTGATAACGGATGCACGCGCGACGCACCGGTGCAACAGAACTTTGTCACGCGCGGCACAGTGTATAATAGCGAAGTAAAGTACTATAGACAGAGTTTGGGAGACAGAGTTGTACGGGAGCAGAATAGTTGGCAAGCGTGTAGTTAATCCGACTATAGTTACTTTCCACTTAACTTTTATCTAATGATGTTTTAAATTAAACATGGGTGAACTTTGGATCACGAATCTATTGGAGACAATCTTTCAAACACAGACTGAATCCATCGTAAACTGTATAAGCGATATGTACTGTACTGGCCACACGCACTTTACTACCGACACACGGAACTGCACGCAGAAGTCGTACGATTCGTGTCCCATATAGGGCTACGAAAAGGGCTTCTTGCCATCCGACTTTGCAAATCTTAGATGTACAGCGTCCAGAGAATGGTTACTATATAGATCTCTGTATATAATAAGATAATATCCCGGACGTCAGTCTGAGCGAGATTAGAATGGCTCTTGACCATCTTAAGAATGGCAAAGCATCAGGAGAGGACGGAATTACAGCAGAGCTTCTGAAAGTGGGT